TTTGGGGTTTGGAACTATAAATTCTTCATCTTTATGGAAAATGAATATCTTTTTGAGCAAGGTAGCTCTTAAAAAACTGTTATTATCCGTATCAAAGAGATAAAATTCATTATGTGGGGTATAACTATGAAAAGAAGCATATGTCGAGCAACAAGAAAAATTCCCGCAGTTACCATCGTAGCAACATGTATAAGGGTCGAAATAGGAGTTGGCCCTTCCATTGCATCAGGTAACCATACATGAAGGGGAAATTGTGCAGATTTCGCAATCGTACCGACAAATAATAGAATAGCACACAAAGTAACAAATAAAAAATTGACCTCATTATTAGAAATCAAGCTATTGAATATTTGGAATAAATTACGAAATTCGAAACTCCCATTATCCAATAAAACCCGAAAATGCCTAATAACAAACCAAAATTGCCAACACGATTAGTTACAAATGCCTTTTGACAAGCCTTTGCTGCAACAGATTCGGCTCAATATCATCATACTTACGTGTATTATTAACCATTCCGATTATAGAGCAGGTACTAATATTGTGGGTTTACGTATTTCGGTTAAAAGACCCGAAGTAGCAAAGCCCTGGGTAAAAATAGTACTTGAGGCAATTATTTCGGTTAAATAATTTTTTTTTATTTTGAAATAAGGGACTATATGAATAAGGGAGAAACTTCATGAAAGAAAAATTAATGATTCGTATAAATCACTTAGTGGGAAATGGCCCGAATAAATCCAACGAGTGATTAATAATCTTGTTAGACATAAAAAAGTAACTATCATCCTCTTTTCTGACGAATCATATGGTTTTATGATTTCATTTCCCAATAATGTTATCAAATGAATTATAATTACAATTGAAACAATCGAAAAGGAAATATGAATGAATATATGCTCTAAAGTTGAAAATATCAAAAAAATGAGAAAAAAGGGAGGGAATCCCCTAAATTAATATTAATTAAGAGTTAGAAATCGGGAATTTAATTTATTTTTATTATAGGATCTATTGGATATCTTTTAGAATATGTCATGCCGCCACTCGAACACGAAGCGAAATGCTCTAGCACTGCTTCATAAGAGCAGCGTGTCTACCGATTTCACCATAGCGACTTACTCGAACTAATAATAGCCTATTTATATTCACTTGTCGATATTGAACAAGTCAATTCAATCAAATAAGTTTTTTAGTCAACACTCAAATTGATAAAAAAATGACTTCAAAAGTCAATTTGAAGGTTCATTAGTTTCATTTATTAGGGTGTTCGTTTATTTATCTTATCTCAGGGTTTTGACGCAGTTTATCCTATTATAAAATCCAAGTTTTGTAAGTAGATTATTCTCTCAATAGAATAAAAAAATTGTTTTCATTTTTTACATTTATTAATGCTTCATTATTTCTCGTTTATCTGATTTCATAAATTTCAAACAATAAATAAATTTTCTCAATGAATCTAAAATAGGTTATTTTGGATTACTTCAAATTGACTCATTTGTTTGTACATTGACATATTAATTATACATAATATCTCAACAATGAAGTTCTTTATTAATTGGGCTCAAAATTGGAGATATATGGTAAATCCATTTCATATTGTAATTACTAAAAATTATAAATTAAGAAGTCATAAAGTTATCTAAATTTTTTTACCATGTAATCCATTAGTTTCAACAATCCATTAATTTGAACTAAAAATATTATATTTGCCCTTCTCGAGAAAGAGAAAAATTGTTCATTATTGTAAAGGTCGATGGGGAAGATAAGACTCCCCACCATAAAAATATTAGTGAATATATACTATAAAGAAATAATTTTTTTTGCATTTGTTTCTTTATTCTTTTTTTTAAAGAATTCAGAAAACAGAAGAATTTTTTTTAGACATCTTTTAAGATGGAAACATGTCTATTTCATATTGATTAGAATAGGGATTACCCAGTGTTAATTTAATATTCAAAAAGTATTGAACCAAATTTGTGAGTCAAATCCATTCCGATTATTCAATATTGTAGGATTTATTTGTTTGTCGTACAAAAAAACTTTTTGAATTCCTAGTAGAAAGAGATTTCCTAATGAAAAATATTTTAACGCCGCATAATATCCTTTCCTTTTCCAAATATTTATAAGTACGTTTTTTGGAACTGCCATTTGAAAATCATTGTTATAGTTGGATGTGAAAGACATCTATTATTCAAAACAAATTATTATTTCTTATTCATTATCTATTTTTTTTATATAAATAATATTCTCTTCATAAAAAGAAATATAGATATGTAAAAGATCCGTTAAATTGGATAAAAAATTACTCGAAATAATATAATTTTGATTCCGTACAAGATTTGTCAAATCAAAATTTTTTGGTTTGGAACTCTTAGTTCTCCTCTCAAATTTATATTTTTAGAATCTGCTAGAAATGAAACTTAATGATTTAATAAAAATAAAGAAAGAGCCTAAAAAACCTTGATTTTCGTTATTCTAGACTTTATTTATAACTAATAAAATACATCAATTGTAAACTTTTGCCTACTAAAAAACTTGAGTCTTTTTTTAGTCAAACTCGAGAAAAGAATAAACCTAAATTCAATTTTGAAATTCAAATCAGATTACTAATAAATCTGTTAAAGGATACGTGGTTTGATAAAAAAAAATATTTCAGACGTTTTTTACCATTTCTCGAAAAAAAGTTCATTTTAGATCTATAATATTCTAACGTTTACTAAGAAATCATTTGGATTGAAATGGAAAACAATAAATCCCATAATTAATTAGTTAATGCGTTGAAAGAAACTAACTAAACTCAAGAGTTTTTATTTCATTAAACCGATGACATTAATTAATCCTACAATTCATATCAGCATCAAGTACTTTTTTAGCGTAATTTTTTTATCCTTGCTCTATAAATCTAAATTATTATTACGAGAAATTCTCATAATAATAATTTAGATTTGCATTTTCATGTTATAAGTATTCATTTTTATATCTAACTTGTTCATCTCATTTGACTAATTGTAACTTCTTGTTTTGAATACTTGATTTGAAAGATCGTGAAAAGACTCAGAATAAATATTAATTTAAAATTATTTAAAATTATTAAATAAATTAGTGCATATCTTGATTTTTTTCGAACAAGGTAAGATCTAGTGAATCGGAAACAATTAATTAAGAACAAAAATATTTTTTTATGAAACAGACATATCAATATGTATAGATAATACATTTCCTGTTTTAATTACACTTATAAAAAGAAAATTTTGATTTGAAATTTTAGAACGCTACATTTCTAATTTTACTGACATTTAATCTTCATTTTCTGACGGCGTTAGCCATAAAAAACTTCAATGCAATGTTTCAAAATTTTAAGGAACAACAAGTTAAAAATTCTCAGAAACTCACAGTGTATTTCCTGAGACCATTTACATAATTTTATCTTGACAAAATTGCAAAAATGGTCCTTGTGGTATGCATTTTTTTTGGGGTTTCAGTCTAAACCTCGATTTTTTTTTGATTCATGATCATTTTGGCATAGTTTGTACGTAGAAATGGCCCTCCGACTTAACTTCCGTTAAGTTTTTGCTGTTAACTCCCTCATGTGCATCTCACATGAGGGTATATTTGTCTTTTCACATATAAAGGACCATTTTTGCGCCTAAAAAATATATCTCATTTTTAAAAATAAAAATAAAAATTAATACTTATATATTTATTTTAATAATCAAAAAATAAAAATCTCTCTCTCTCTCTCTTTATATATATATATATATATATATATATATATATATATATATATATATATATATATATATATATATATCTCATCGTCTTTTTCATTACATCTTCCTTCTGCAAATCAAGCCACATACAAACACACTTAAAGCTTGAAGCTTGAAAAGGGATTATGCTAAAAGCTTGAAAAGCAACAATGATTTACAGAGATTGAACCGGGAAAGAACATACGATGGGATAGAAATTAGAGTTTCAGATTTCAGATCTGTTCTACAATTAAATTTTTCTTTGAAGTTCAACCTCTCCAAAATTTTAAGCTATGACAGAATAGAAGAGATAAATCCTCATTCGATTTATGGGTTAAAAGTCAAAGTCTTTAGATCTGTTCTCGAATTTAGAAAGAACATTGGTGTTTGATTTTTGGAAATCAGATTTGAGACCCACCTGTAAAAAATTTCAAAATTTAGTCTCAAATGGAAGGGAACCACCCTCCTACCTGTTTCTCCGCTTCCCTAGAAGTGTAGCACCATTACCACCTTATACCTCCGTCGACCATCCGTTAACCACCGTTGCTACATTTTAACACCACCTCCTTACACCGCCACCCTTGTTCACTGTTATGGGTTTTGTGAGGGTTGTCAATTGTCGAATGATCTAACAATCTGGGATGAATGATCTAACACATAACTGATGAACTTGGGATGAATGATCTAACAATCATCTTTAATTTGTTCATTTGGAGAATAAAAGACAAAACCCCACCAAGAATCCATTCTGACCACCAACATCCCTAAACTAAGCATCATCTTCACAACAGCCTCAATACAACAATTAGTTCTCCATTCCAGCCATGATTATTGATACCCGTGTGAAAGAAGCACCAAACAACCAACACATGTTCCCTCCCCCATCTTGTTATTCCTTTTTCTTTTTTCTCTTAAATCGGACCTACAAATTCAACACAAATAGATCTATCTTGATTCTTATTGAGTTATTGGGTCGACTAGAGAGAAAAAACACACACGCACACCTGCAAGTTGATTGAAAGGGAAGGGGATGATATTGATTTTTTTCGTGTGATTGGACAGAAAAATGAAAGAGAAGATGGTTGGATTGACCTTGAGAAAAAGGGAACACACATCAATCTTGAGAGAAAGGGGCACCCTCCATCCCGTTCTTAATTTCACACATATTAACTGTCAAATCAATTAGGTCATAATGGGTATATTTAATGATACGTGTGGTTGGTGGAGAGGCAAGAGGAAGAAGATGTAGTTCAAATGGTGAAGGTGCAGGGTATAGGAGATGCAGTAGAGATTGAAGAGGATGAAGTCGATGTCGTCGCTGGTGAAGGCTTGGCCAGAGGCAGAAGATGGTCTCATCAGAGAAAGAAAAAAATGAGGGGGAATATGCGACTTAGAGGAGACATAGGTATGGTGGGGGAGATATGATTCATAGTTCTTCATTGATATTTAGATGTAGGTTAATGAACTTGAAGAAGAAGATGGGTGGAGTGTTTTGGGTTGAGATTGAGAGAGAGAGAGAGAGAGAGAGAGAGAGAGAGAGAGAGAGAGAGAGAGAGAGAGAGAGAGAGAGACCTTTTTATTTTTTAACTATTAAAATAAATAAATAGGTATTATTATTATTTTTTTTAAATGGGATCTATATTTTTTGGTGCAAAAATGATCATTTATACGTGAAAAGACGAATATACCCTCATGTGAGATGCACATGAAGGGGTTAACAGCAAAAACTTAACAGAAGTTAAGTCGGAGGACCATTTCTGCGTACAAACTAGGCTAAAAAGACCATGAATCCAAAAAAGTTGAGGTTTGAACTGAAACCCCAAAAAAATACATACTACAAGGACCAGTTTTGCAATTTTGTCTTTTATATTTAGGAAATGACTAAATTACACTTTGGGTTCCTATAATTTTATGTTTGAATTAGAATTTTGGTCCTTATTAGTCTTTTATTTACGAATGAATTGATTATACTTTTGATCCATAATGTAGAATTATATTTTTGGTCTCTATGATTTGGTCCCTCTGGTTTTCACAATTACTCACTCTAGGTCTAACTTGTGAAAATTTTACATTAATAGTCATTATGGATGATAAAATAACAAGTTTGGTCGAATCAAATGTGAAACTTCCTCTTTTAAATGCTATAAAAATGCTATAAAATAACAATTTTACTCCATTTTTTAATTTTTATTATAAAATTTATATATTATTTGTTTTTAAAAAAAGTAGTTCTTATCTTTATTTTTGTTTTTTAAACTATTTTACATACACACATATCAGGATACAATTTTAAACAGAAAAAAAGTGAGTTGCTAATTTCGCAAGTACTTAATTTTCATTTTCTAATGACTGGATAGACCTTCGATGTAACGTTTCAGTTTCTAAGGATCAACCAGTTAAATTTTCTTAGGACTCAAGGTGGTTTTTACCGGTTATAGGGACCATTTATATAATTTTATCTTTAGAAAATGACTAAATTACACTTTCAGTCCCTATGGATTTTATGCATGAATTACAATTTTGGTCCCTATTAGTTTTTTATTTACAAACGAATGATTATACTTTTGGTTCATATATATATATATATATTTTGTCGTCTCTAGTTGTGGTTTCTATGATCTATGATTTGTATTGTTCTCTATATTAGGTATAAGTTTTAAAAAATTTACAAGGTGGTTAAATTAGAGTTTTGGTCCCTCTGGTTTGCATAGTTATGCATTTTAAGTCCTAACTTTAACATTTTTGCATCAATAGTCATTATGGTTGGAAAAAATTACAAACGACGTTTGAAAAATACGTCTTATCTATATTTTTGTTTTTTCTAATTATTCTACATATACATATTTCAATATACAGTTGATTTATTGGTATCTGGTTAATAAACCCGTCGGCCGTCACGGTCCATCACTGCTCGTTACAATAATTTCAAAGAAAACATTATTAATATAATTAAAAGGAAAGATAAGAACACGAGTAATGCAGTAAATAGTGACTAATCAAGTGCGTGGCCTTATACGACAGCTTAACAATCTCCCCAATTGCCGCGTCATCTTACCCGGCTGTTTTACGTGTCAGTCCTTCATTCATCTGCCTCTTCACCACTTCAAACCCTATATATACAACAGCTCAGATGACCAACACATAGTACGAAAGTATCATTATCATCCCACTTTAATAAACGATAAAACTAAAGTTTGGAAGTTTAGAGTCGAGAAGAAACTGAAAGCATGGCATCAGGTCAAGAGAGGAGGTCGGACTTGGAAGCCAAGGCCAAGGAAGGGGAGACCGTCGTGCCTGGAGGCACAGGTGGCAAAAGCCTGGAAGCACAAGAGCATCTTGCTGAAGGTTTCGAGTTCTTTATAACTTTTTGGTTTCCGTTTCTTGTATTAATTTCCAGAAGTGGTGTCATATATGCTTCGAATATTTATATTATATGATTCTTTTCAAGCTGCTTACTTTTGATGATGTGTTGAAATTACATTTAGGAAGGAGCAAGGGAGGGCAGACTCGGAAGGAGCAGTTAGGGCCAGAAGGCTACAAGGAGATGGGCACCAAGGGCGGTGAGGCTCGGAAGGAGCAGCTGGGGACCGAAGGGTACAAGGAGATGGGCAGCAAGGGAGGTGAGGCTCGGAAGGAGCAACTGGGCACCGAAGGGTACAAGGAGATGGGAAGTAAGGGTGGGGAGACTCGTAAGGAGCAACTGGGGTCCGAAGGGTACCATGAAATGGGACGTAAAGGTGGTCTGAGTACTAAAGACAAGTCTAGTCAAGAGCGTGTTGAGGAAGAAGGTATCGAGATCGATGAATCCAAATATCGAACCAAGACCTGAGCATAGCAGTGTGTGCTCTTGACGTGCATTGTATGTCCAACAGTAGTACTAGCTGTGTGTGCTTATGACAAGTATTATATATGTATCCAGTAGTAGTAGTTTTTGTAGATATGTTGGGTTTGGGTGGTTTTGGTGTAGAAGAAGGTATTAGGTTTTGCATGGTGTACCTTTTTGATGATGTTGGTAGGTGGTGCACTTGTTACTGCTCAACTAATGAAATATCGGATATGTTTATGTATAAGGGCTTTTTATCAGCTATGTTCGTCAGCGGCTATAAATGTATATAAAGAGATGCATAACATAGTAAGATTAACTTCTTTCCACAAAGAGGAACAAATTAACGAGTCACAGACTCGGTTGCGGGCACAAAACACTGGTCGGCACGTGAGTTATGTTAGCAAGTGTTGTCTTCAGAAAATATTTACGACACTATTGTACTTCTACAAATATTTACCACACCATAGGAATAGAAAGTTTTTTCTGTTTTCCTCGTGAAAAACTGAACCAAAACATCGCAAATTGATGAAACCAACAGACGCTCATCCTTTTTTCATTTTCATTGCGATTGTGCGTACTTCCTTTCTCGTTTTCAATCGGCCAATTGTTTTATACCGGTTCTTCTTAATCATGTCACCGTTCAGAAAATCATCTTTCTTATGGATTAATCTTTTAATTATCGCGCGAGTACTTATAAGACAGACGCTACATTGTAATACATGAATACAGACACTACAACGTACACTGAGGTAGTCAGGTGGCAAATGGTCCATGAGACATTGAAGTGGCAAATGGTCCGTGAGTGAGGCTATGCTTGCTCATAATTTCTCCCATTCCTTCTTTTCTTTGCATCTCTTTTCTTCTACCCACTTAGTATCAACTATGGTCCGTAAGTGAGGCTGGGTGAGGCTATGATTGCTCACAATTTCTCCAATTATCTCTCTCCGGAATCCAGTAATATAAAATAAGCAAAAAAAAAAAAAAAAAAAAACGTAATTTTATTAGAATATAACTTCTATAATAAAGTTTCATTTAATCTTAACTTTTTTTTCTACTCTACAAATTAAAGTATAATTTATAAAATCATCACCTATTTTATTACGCAAATCATCGCAGTAAAACACCGGTTAACGGTTGCGGTTGCGGTTGCGACGGGCAAATAATAATAATCTATAAACCAAAGAAAAATAGATGTGCTTCCCACCAAGAGAGGTCTGCAATTCCCTTCAAGTTGAAAAATCCCTCATCATGGAGCAAAGAGTGATAATAGATATCAAGTTGCCCATTAAATTGTGTCCTTTCTGAAGCGTCAAAATCATTTTTGTATATCTTGCTTAACTTCAACAACTTTGCTTCATCAAAACCAGAAAATGAGTCACAAGGACTCAAAGTCGCATTGTTCTCCATCAACTCCGTGCCAACTTCACTAAATCTTTCCCTAAATTCTTGAATTTGCATATCCAAAATCGTGTTAAAAATCACAACTTCAAAATGATGTTGATTAGTCTTATTGGTCCTACGCTTTCGTGGGGTAACATAATCTTCTGACATGTCCACAATTTTAATATTATTCTTTTCACAAAAAGCACATGTAACGACCAAAATTTCAATAAAATTTAAACTTTTCAAAAACAACACAATTCATTAAGTTATTACAAAAAGATTTTCAATACATTTATTATCAGAATATTCTCAGGTCAATTTCATAAAACATAAACATGAGGAGCAGTACGATCACGCCTTTGCCTTGCCACAGTCTCTTGAAGAACCTGAAAAACATTAAACCACAACTGTAAGCCCGAAAGCTTAGTGAGATACCCCCAAAATACCAACCACATATACCATACACATAACATGCTATATCATAACAAATCACAAAACATCCATGCATATCGGGTCTACTGTGAGACTAATCCGCTGTGTCGGGCCTTCAGTCCACCTAGTCCACCCTCCGAGTCCAGTCATGTCCCTCGAGTCTGCAGTGTGGTTGGTCTGCCTGCACCGGACCTTCAACCCACCTGGTCCACTCTCTGAGTCTACAGTATGACTGGTCCGCCCGCATCGGGCGTTCAGTCGGTCTGGTCCACTCTCCGAGCCTCGGCACATCTGGTCCGCCCTCGTGGGGCCTACAACCTATCCGAACCGCTCGTTGGGCCTTCGGAACAACCGGTCCGCCCTGGGTATCTTGGCCTACAGCACAAAGCAGGACCCGCCTCAACCCATCTCCAGTCCCAACAACCATGAGCACATAAACATACAATCATATAACAGTTCATATTCAATCAAACCGATCTAGCAGATCACATAACACAACATACTCTAACAGGATACCGACCTAACCGGTCACTAGCATAGCATCATCCTATATACCAGGATACCGACCTAACCGGTCACTAGCATAGCATCATCCTATATACCAGGATACCGACCTTAACTAGGTCTCTAACGAATACCATCCCAACTACCTGGATGCAAACATATCAAAGCAATAACATAACAACAGATACTCGGATCTCAATCCGATAAAGGGCCGGCCTTGGTGCCTTAGACCCTGTTGATATAGTGAGGATAACTCACCTCGCAACTACTGACTGAAAGGATAAGATCACGCTGCTACAACCTCCGACTCGAACTCCAACACTGTCAATACCCAAAAGACTGAATCCAATAAATACCAATAATTACCAAATTACCCCTGGAAATCAACTGGTCAACCCTTGGTCAAAGTCTACCCCTGACTGACTCTACTCGCCGAGTCAACCCAATGACTCGCCGAGTCCTCATATACAGAACCTCCTTCAATTCGCGACCCAACTCGCCGAGTACAACAACTCTGAGCTCACTCGCACATAACTCACCGAGTCATCCCTTGATTCACCGAGTCACAGCACTTCCAAAAGAAACTTGGACCCTACGACCAGACTCGCCGAGTCTACGACTATCTTCAACCTACTCGCCGAGTTGTTCTTCCAACTCGCCGAGTTCCAGGCCATCTTCATCCAACTCGCTGAGTTGTTCTTCCAACTCGCCAAGTTCCAGACTTTCTTCAAGCAACTCGTCGAGTCCACCCATGTGACTCACCGAGTACCATCGGGTCTGAATCCATACAGAAGCTTTCCAAGCCATGCAGATGATCCAAACCATAGATCTACTTCTCCTAAGGCCATCCATCACGTAAAGTGGCAATCTTTAAGTGAATCCAAGAAGATCTAGGCATTTTTACTCTAGGGTTTGGGGTTTGGGACAAGATAGCTCCATCAACTACACAAGAACAGGGACTTTAATGCTCCTAAGACCTTCTCCACTCCAGATCTGAGGTAGCAACCTCAGATCTATCCTTCAAACTCAAGATGCCACAAATCTAAGCTTCCCACACAACCCCAAAATGACGAATCTAGAAGAACACAGCCCAAAAAAGAGATATTACCTCAAAATGAAGCCTCCAACAGCAAGAAATCCGAATCTAAACAAAGCCCTTTGATCCAAGCCTCTTCTCCTTCAAGATTTCTTCAACAAACACCTCCCCAAGCTCCAAATGCACTCCAATCTTCCACAATCACGCTTTCTAGGGTTTCTGGACTTCAAGGGAGATCAAAGAGGCTGGGGAGAGGGTATAATGTTCTTTAAATAGGGCTCATCCCCCGGATTTAGGGTTTTCTCCACTTAGCACCTACTCGCCGAGTCCATCTTTGGACTCGCCGAGTAGGCCACTTGACATGCGACCAAAGTTGCGACCCTACTCGCCGAGTTGCCCTTCAAATTTACACTTTTATCCCTTCAACTCCACTCTTGATATTTCGGGATGTTACAACACATACTTTCTTCTAAATTTGTGGAAACCCATATTTTCTAAAAACTAGCAATGTTTTCTATATCCCTTTTACTAACGAAGCCGCTTCCAAAATATATTGATCATTTTTTTTGAAGATGCTTTGACAACGTATTCGTAAGACATAGAATTTCCAACATCAAGTGTAAAAGAAACAAGAAATCTAGTGTTTTGAAATATGACAAAATATCATTTGCTTGATTTCGGTTAGATAAAGTAGACCCATCCTCTTTGACATATTTAAGGACCGTAACAACTTCTGCAAAAAAATTCAACAAACTTACAATTGTTCTAAAATATGAACCCCATTTAGTATCTCCAGCTCGAACAAGAGAAATCTCTTGATTCAACCCTCTTCCTGTTTCAGTTTCACCAAAACCAATTTCGGATGCCACTATTTCTTTTTGCATCTCTCGTATCATATCTTTTCTCTTACAATCCCCACAAACGATAATAACCACCAAACCTAGTTATTCAAAGAATTCTTCAACATCATCATGTTTCTTTGCAACCGCCACAACCACTAATTGAAGTTGGTGTGCAAAACATGTATATAATGTGCGGAACTATTTTCATTTAAAATCAAAGATTTCAAACAGTTAAATGTACCTCTCATATTACTTGCTCCATCATAACCTTGCCTCCTCACCTATATATTTGAAAAAATTAATAAAAAAATATAACACATAAAAATAAAATTAATATCATATTAAAGGAATAAATATTTTATGATTCCTCACCCGATCGATAGTCAAGTTGTTGTTGTTGGAAAAAACAGTATCGATGGCGGCTTTAAGAGTCAAAGAGAATGTGTCCAAGACGTGAACAACTCCAATAAATCTTTCCTTTACAATCCCAAGTCTATCAACATATCTTAAAACTATAGCCATTTGTTCATTTTTGGAAACATCACTAGACTCATCAACTAATATACCAAACACATCTTTACCAATTTCATCACAAATAGACATGATTATCTCTTTTGAAAAGCAATTGACAATATCTTTTTGAATTGTCGGAGAAGTCAACTTTTCATTTTTTGGAGCATTTTCTAAAGTAACATTAAAAATCTTCTCATTATCTTCTCTAATCAAAGATAAGACTTCAATAAAAAGTCCATTATTATTAGACTTTTCCATCTCATCGTGTCCACGAAACGGTAATGCATTTTTCA